AGCATCTCCCTGATGAAGAAAGACTGAGAGAGCTGGGACTCTTTAGTCTGGAGAAGAGAAGGCTGAGGGGAGACCTTATCAATGCTGACAAGGATCTAAAGGGTGGGTTGAAGGAAGAGGGAACCAGACTCTTTTCAGTGGTTCCCAGTGAGAGGACGAGGAGCAACGGGCACAAGTTGGAACATAAGAGGTTCCACTCAAATATGAGGAAAAACTTCTTCACGGTGAGGGTGACAGAGCCCTGGAACAGGCTGCCCAGGGAGGGTGTGGAGTCCCCTTCTCTGGAGATTTTCAAGACCCGCCTGGATGCTCCTGAGTAACATGCTCTGACAAGCTCTAGGCAATCCTGCTTCAGCAGGGGAGTTGGACTAGATGATCTCTATGGTCCCTTCCAACTCTAAAAATTCAGTGAAATTCAGTGAAATAACTTCTTGACTCAGGTGGTGGAGGAGCCAAGGAGGAATGATGTACTACTGGACCTAGTTCTGACAAAGAGGGACTGGTGGAGGACATTAAGACTGGGGGCAACCTTGGCTGTAGCCATCATGAAAAGATAAGAGTTCAGGATTGTGGGTAGTGTGCACAAAACAAGAAGTAGGATTGCAACCTTGGACTTCAGAAGGGCTAACTTTCTTCAAGAAACTGCTCGGAGAAATCCCATGGGTTAGAGCTCTGGAAGGTAGGGGGGCCCAAGGGAGCTGGTTGATATTCAAATACCTTTTTCTCCAAACTCAGGATCGGTGCATCCCTAAGAGCAAGAAATCAGGCAAGGGAAGCTGGAGACCTGCGTGGGTAAGCAGGCAGCTTTTGGAAACACTCAAGTGGAAGAAGGAAGTTTACATTGTGTGGAGGAAGGGACTGACCACTTGGGAAGATTACAAGAATGCCACCAGAGGAGCAAATGTCACTACTGGTCAGGACATCATTCCAAACGACCTGAACAAATCTCAGCTAGGTAGCTACATTCCTTACTACACCTAAGGGACATTGTTGGGTGCCATTATATGGTCTCCCTGTCTTACCTCAGAAGGAGCTTCACCAACACGTTTAAGAAAAATACAGATTTTTGCGTACATATGTATATTCTAGGAGACTGAAAGTGCAGTGGTATTTCCTCTGTTACCTAATGAGAGGTGAACGGCAGTGCATGGAGAAGAGAAGCTACATCAGAGCAGTGCTCAGTGTGCTGTGAATCAAGAGGCCCCATCACCACCACCAGAACAGCGGTGTTTGCAGTGCAAGAGGCCAGGCAACAGCCAGCAGAAGTGCCATTTTCTCCTTACAGACTCCAAATAAAAAGAGCACACAAAAGAGGGATTTGTTTGTGCTGCTCAAAGCAGCATTAACTATCCCTCTGTGTTCACTGACCCCACCAGATGGGTCACACTGCACAGATGCTGGCATACAGCCCTTGCCTGCAGAGCCACCAGGAACGAAGCAAGAAACCAGAAAGGAGACCCCAGGGTAAATCTCTCTCCTTCCTTCCCTCCCTCTCTGAGATCTCTTATTGGAGATGTCCCAGTCTGGCCAAGCCCACTCATTTCTGTGCCTCTCCTAGCCCTCTCCCCCTTTGAAAGGCTCAGTCTTACCTTCCACAGCCTTTTCTTTACCATGTTTGTATATAAAAGATCATTGTGCTATTAAAACGCTAGGAGAGGAATTGTATTATATAACTACTAGTTACTGTTTTACCATTTTTTAGAATGATGGAAAAGTAAAATAAGAATGTAGACTCCCCTTGGGGCAAGGTTAAGCAAATTAAACTTACGTTCCTGGTGGCCCAAAAGAATATTCACTTCAGCATCCCCAAAATGGAAGAATGGAAGGGTAATGCATTTCAGTTGGAACTGTCCCGCACAGAATGAAAAGCCATTAATAACTGTGGCATATAGGCATGTGTGGGGTGAGAAATCTTCTGTGATATAGCCCCTAGTCAAAAGAGTTTACAAAAAAAAATGTTGGGTTGTTTGGTTTTTTTTACATTTGCAATGATTTGCTATTCATTAAGCTCTGATATCTCGTGGCTTTTGATATTCCGAAGGGATTTCATTCAGCTTGCTTTTCATTCCAGGTCAGCTAACATAAAATCAATAATGGTTTGGACAGATTTCCTTCTTGTAATGAGCCCAGAATTGGCATAGATAGCCCAAACTCTCTTCCTGTTTCACATTTACAGGAGCTTTTGCGGAGCGGTTTGGTTCTCTCTTTCCCTCGCGTTCTTTCGCGACAGAAATTTTCATCGGCATGTTACGGGGCTTCTGCACCATTTGTATCCCAGGCACAGACATGTGCTGCCTACTGAACTTGATGAAGCTTCTTGACAACAAAATCGATACAGCAAAAGCAGGTTCTTACTGCTGGAAAGGGGAAATATACACTCATCCTGGCCAAAGTTGTTATTTTTCGTGCAGACAATCATAGAATCATAGAATAGTTTGGGTTGGAAGGGACCTTAAAGGTCCCCCATTTCCAACCCCCCTGCCCTGGGCAGGGACACCTCCCACCAGACCAGGGTGCTCCAAGCCCCATCCAGCCTGGCCTTGACCCCCTCCAGGGATGGGGCAGCCACAGCTTCTCTGGGCAACCTGTTCCAGTGTCTCACCACCCTCACAGCAAAGAATTTCTTTCTGGTATCTCATCTAAATCTCCCCTCTTCCCATTTAAAACCGTTACCCCTTGTCCTGTCACTACCCTTCCTGACAAAGAGTCCCTCCCCAGCTCTCCTGTAGCTCCCTTCAGATATTGGAAGTCCCTCAGTGCTCAGCTTGCCACTGGTCACGTCAAGAGGACTGCTCTGATGAGCAGTGCCCACAGGAAAAGACACTCTTTCTGCAGTAAGAATTTGGTGTTCTGACTACAGTGCCCTGCAGCACTACTTGTTTTTGGGCTCACAAACTGGACTACACACCTAATTATTGGCGCCGAAAAGTCCCATGGCAACTGGTGGCTCTAAGGTCCCAGCAGGGTACAGACCAATCTCAAAGACCAGTACACCTGAAATACCTGCCCAACACCACTTGGCTTAAGCATGTGCTCAGAGCTGAGTCCAGGCTAAGCGCCGTGCTGAACTGTGATCTAACCATCCTCCTGGTCGCATTACTCAGTGTCTGGCAGCAACCTCTCTCATTAGAAAGCAAATCCTTCACTGCCTTATAAGCCAATAGAAATTACGCATCCTCGTAAAGAAGGTGTCAAAGCCGAGTTTGCCTCAACTGTGCTTGACAACTGGTTAGAAAGCCAAGCCAAACGAATATTTTCAACCACATCTTGAGAATAATTGGTTTTCTTTTTATTGGAAAGTTCTGCTGTTTTATTACGGAAAACCGCAGCACGTTCAAACTGAAGGTCGAGGGATGATGTGACAAGCTCGTGTAGAACCCTGCGCAGCAAATTAGGGTGTTATTTTGCTCTCACAGAGCTTGATCTTGACTGGGACAAATTCTGCTCTCAGTTACAGCAGGGCACGTACGCTGGAATCCAGAGCTGAATTTCGCAGACGGGCTCCAGTGGGAAGTTAAAAGGCCCCCAGATTTTGCAAGATCAAGTCCTTGCGGTATCTCCGCAAACATGAGGTTGGGTTCAAGAAGCAGCCGTGATAACCTAACAGTTCTCTGCCACTGAAAGGTGAGAACTTCCCTTCTCCCCCACTTCCCTGCACCTCCGACCTTCCCCATCCCTTCCTCGCACCGCCTCTGGCATTCACTTGAGTCCCCCCCCCACTGTTTTTTGACAGAAAAATATCTACTTTGTTGTCGCTTGGTGTTCCTCCATGGCATTTTCTGCCAGATCAGTGAGCTCGAGCAGCTCCTGGAAGAGAAGGCAGCACTTGCACACGGACCGGCACAAAGACAGAACCAGTTCAGAGCAAGCAACAAAAGGGCACACCATGGAAGAAAATTTAAAGAGGAGGAAGACAAGACCTTCCCTTTCTATCAGCAATGGGCTTTTAAGATCAGATCAGCCCACTCCCCATAGCCCCCATCTGCTTTCACCTCCCTCAGTTTTACACTGATGCTACACCACTAATTGCAGTAATTACTGTTATGCAATTCAGATTATTAATATCCCGAAGCTCTGGCCATAAGCAGGGTCCTGCTGTTAAAGGAGGGACCGTATATACACACATTGGCCCTGCTCTGAGGAGCTGACAGTCTAATCCAGCACAACCTGCGACTGGAAGAGCAAACTAGGCAAGACAAGAGCCTTCAGGAAGGTGGGGGGTTGTAATTAGAGCAAGACACAACCAAAATTTGATCCCAAAAGACTCACTGCATTATTTGGTACTTATTCAGGTGAGTCACATGGATTTAATCACTGAAAGTAAATCAAACCATTCGCTTGAGCAAGAAGCTTCACTCTAAGTCCAACAACGAGCCACATCCCAGCGCGTGCAAACAAGCAATTATACCACTTCTTTGCTTCATTTTAGATTCACCAAAGGGCCAGTTCTGCACGTCACCAGGATGCAAAAACTCTCACTAAAGCAAACAGGAGATCTGCCTGTGCCCAGAGACTGGGCACTCTGTCTGCTGGCTTTCCTGCAGGCAGTTTTCTCAGTGTACGACAGCATCATTCCCTATCTCAATAAACCAGCAAACCAACCAAAGAAACCAGTATCTATAATTAATGCAAAAGATCCCGCTCTCTGTCATATTATCAGATTCAACCTCCTTCCCCCTCACTCCTGGGTTTCAGGCTGAGCTCTGTGTGACAGTTCTTTATACCAAACATAAAAAACCAAAACATACTACTTGCTTGGCACTTACCATGCCTGTTTCACCGAACTGGAAGGAAAAACATCATGCATTTGGCTATTATCATTAAATGGCATGACAAGGGACGGGCAAGCAGAATTTGTGTCTGGACGAGAGAACGTAAACCCACTGTTTTGTAAAGCTGATTTACATTTATCACAGCACACACATCTGAGGTGCTCGCATAAATTATAATCCTGATTTAGTATTTACTTAGTTGTATTATAAAATTTGTTAGAAACAAACCTTGAGTGTCGACAACCAAGACTTCTCTTTCTGCTAGTCTCGCTGTGCCACTGTACGGGGTAAAGGCGTGAAGCATCCTTCAGCAAGAAAACAGAAGTTTGAGGGGAAAACAGAGACGTTCTTTGCGAGAAAAAAACGGTAACACAGCTCTTTGATTTAAAGCAGCAACTTTTGTGTCAGTCTTCACGAGCAGGCTGTACAGCGCTGTATTATCAGGATGAAGAAAACCTGTCACTCGTCCCTCAACAACACCTGAACTGGAAAATCCACAGCACTGAAAAGATTTCGTTTGGAAATAAAAGAAAATGAGGATGTGTTTTGATGAAAGGTGATGCTTTCCGTCTGAGTCCAAGATATAAGCCACGCAATGGTTATTGAAGCAGCACAACATGCCACGTTAGACTCTTTAAGTGCCGTCCATTTCCAGTCTATGATAATTAAAAAGAGTGAACTGTGTACACAAATGGTATGGATACATAAAGGTGACCGATACACATGCCAAAATAATCTGGAGTGTACGACGAAAATAGTTTTGCAGATATTGCACTCATTCCACTTCCTTGTTACATCTATCCATTCCCTCATTATTATTATTATTTTTTTTTTGATCTGTTGTGCACTTGGATCAAAACCAGTAACAGCAGACAATTTTTTTCTTTCGGTCTCAAAAATATAAGAAAGGTATAAAACTGTAAAGCTACCAAAAAAAAAAAAAAAAGAAAAAGCTGCACATACATTTTTTTGAGTGGGGACAGTAAGCACAGGACTGAATTATTTAGAAATTCTGAAACGGTAAGGTAATTAATAAAAATATTTATAAAGAAGTATATCTACAATATTCAATAATTTAAGGCTCACAAGAAACTAACATATCAATGACAATAAAAGTTTTCTGCTATAGGGTTAAAAGCACCAAATTCACTTCACATACTAGATAACCAGATCTGTACTGATCACAAGTGGAAAACTCTGAAAGTGCTTATCTGCTAATGTTCCTAGTGCTTTAACAATGTCGTTTTTCACAGGAATAAGAAATCCCCTTTCAACCATACAGTCATACAGATATAAAATATATCAGAATAATTTCAGTTTGAAACTACAGTACAAAAAACCTCGACCTCCCTCCCCTCCCCCCCCCCCC